CCAGTTATCTCTTGACAGGAGAAAGTACCTATATAACAAACATATCTACAGCATCTATAAACAATTTATACGTTTTAATATTCTTTATTATTTGCAGTTGTTATACTCTATATTCTTCTTGTTTATTCTAATATTATAAAGAGGAAAAAATTGTTATATTTGTTTGTTTGTATTGAATAGGCTCTGAATTTACTTAACCGATTTAGATGAAATTTGGTGAGAAGATAGTTTGAGACCCTGGGAAGGACATAGGATAGTTTTTATGCCAGAAATCGTATATATATAGTTAGTATTAATATATATATATATATATATATATATATATATATATATATATATATATATATATATAAATACATATATTAGGTGTACTCGTATTTAATTAAACAAAGCCCATGAAAATGAGGCGACAAGTTATTGTTTGTAGATAACATACGTACAGAGGATAACAAATATTTCAGTCAAACCCATTTTTAATTCATAGTCATATAATAATAATAATTTGACAGCAGCACAGTTATGGCTTACATTTTTATCTATTTTGAATCTATTTATTTAATACCCACGGATTATGAACACTTTGCAAATAACTAAATAAACAGCACGATCTTTATAAGTTAGTGACTCGTAAGCGCAGCATTCATTATGTAATACCTTTATTACATAAAAGTAACTCATCGGTACATGTTGGTCTGTCTGTAAAATTGCATTTATCTTTCTTCTCCTTATTAATTAAATATTTTAACTTATTTTCTTTACGATACGTATTTTGGAGAGACAAAATTGTTTGCTTAAAATCCTGTTTTTTTTTCGCTCTATAAGAACAGAGAGAGACAAAAAACTGAAACCCTGATTTATCTTTAGATATCCACATTCTTTAAATATAAATCAAACAAATAAAAATCAATAGTAAGGATCAATTCAATATTTTCAACCGACTTCCTCAAAAAGGAGGAGCTTCTCAATTCGGCTGTATTTTTTTTTTATGTTTGTTACCTCAGAACTCCGTCATTTATTAACCGATTTGGACAATTATTGTTTTGTTTGAAAGTGTATACTTCCAGATTGGTCCCATTTAAACTTAAAAAAAAAATACCACCCCTCAGGGTGGAAAAACAGCTAATGATTAATTTAACCTACTTCTAATTGACATATTGACTTGAAACTTTGCAAGTGTTTCTATTTCCGTTGATAGTACAGTATTGTTGATCTGATCTGATGGTAAGGCCAGAAGGTGGATAGGTGGAATTCTTCAACGGCTAATAGTAGATACTTTGAGTTTGGGCTTATTTTGTTTGATTTGATAAGACTAACACGTTAGAATTTTAAATAAAACTGTCTTTTCGGATTATTTCTCGGATTTATTTTCATTTTTGGTTCCCGACGTTTCGTTAGAATTCTTACTTTGCTACTACTGTCTACACTAAAAAGGGAAAAATAAAAACTTTTTACCAAAAAAATAAAAACCGCCTTCAAACAAAAGCACTCAAAAGTAAAAAATAACCGATTGTTGGTTTTCATTTACTATACATACCTAATCAAAAAATTTCGAAGTCGGTGTCAACCGGTACAAAGCAAAGCACACCTCTACTTTTTAGTGCTTTTGTTTGAAGTCGGTTTTTATTTTTTTGTTAAAAAGTTTTTATTCTTTCAAAATTATATTTGACGTTATGATTTTTATCATATCTTTAATGTAACAACAATAATAATGATCATGAATAAATATTGAAATATTTAGTAAAAATGAATGAATTAAAATACCGTTCATTGAGCTAGCCAATTAGTTACCTACCTTTTCTATAGAGCATGAACAGTAATTATGTACTACTTTTGAATTTAAACTGATTGCTCACGCTTTCCGATAGACACAGTAGGTAAATAACAAAATGAAATTGGACTTCTTTCAAATGATAGTTATATTTTTATTGAGCAATGGCTTTTAAGTCACATAACTATGTATGTAAGTATGAGGGTAACTCGCATACACCCTATTCCTTTATTTTCAATCATCATGATCACTAATTCTAATTCCTAGTTTAATTCCAAACTAGCAGAACCCGCGGCTTCGCTCGTGCTAAAACTTCAAAAAAACTCTAAAAAGGTTTAGGTAGGTTTCATACAAACTTTCATCCGCTATTTAACCCCCTTATGAGATGAATTTCGGAAAATGCTAAAACACAAATTTAATTAATTGTATTGATGAGTATAGTTCTATATGTGTAGTGTCTCAACTATACCTGTACCTGGTATCCAAAACACATGCCTTGTAGCTTTCCATGGAACTAGATGGTGGTGCGTGTTAATGTCCCAACATATTTGTTTAGATTGAAATTGCATAATATTATAATGAAATACATATAACGAATGTAATTATGTATTTTACTCTAACTACGAGTACTTTACTATGCAGTTAGAAATTTCATTTCAAATTGAAGTTTATATTATAGACTTCATACTATATTGTTATTCTAAATCATACCTATACATTTTAATTCAATAGTGAAGGCTCGAGTGTTTTAAAGATTTGTCACATATTTAAATTCTAATTTATTTGAAGAAAAAAAGCTTGTAATCAATCACCTTCAGCGTAGCATTGACAAAAATTGTCAAATAATTAATCTGTTACACTTACAATTTACTTATACCTATTGCAGATTTAGTCATGGCAAAAAGGGTTTCGTACCATTATCTATAAAAACAGCAAAAAAATCACGTCTGTTGTATGGGAGCCCCCTTACTTATTTATTTTATTCTATTTTTTTGTATTTGTTGTTATAGCGGCAACAGAAATACATCATCTGTGAAAATTTCAACCGTTTAACTATCACGGTTCATGAGATAAAGCCTGGTCACAGACGGACAGAGAGACTTTTTTGTAGTACTCATTTGTAAACTTTATTTACGTCTGGAAATGGTTAAAAACCGGTAAATTCGTCTGGCTAGAAAGTATTATTGAAAATGACTCAATAAATACGTATATATATATTAATAACTTAAATAGGTAGTTGAATAACATGCCTGTGCTAACCAGTGGTAATGCGCTCGCTTGGGAAACTGAGTGAAGCAGGTTCAAATCCCGGGTCTCGTACCTCTGATATTTTCATGTGTGATTCATTTTCCGACATGATTACCGCTTGTCTTACGATGAAGGAAAACATCGTGAGGAAACCTGCACGTCTGAGAGAACCTAGCAAGGTTTCGAAAGACATGTGAAGTCTGCCAACCCGGAAACCAACAAAATATTTTACAATATTTTGTGGTTATATTTTCTATCATCAACAGGATAAGGTCCTGTAATTAAAATTTTACGTTTTAATAATGTTTAATTACCTATACAATTTATTTATCCTTATCATTGTTAAAATTAGCGGCAATTATTTATAAACTGGTAATATTAACTCCAATTAAAATAATAAGTATTCTAGATCAGAATAAATTGGCCATTAATTACTTTTTTATTTAGTGGAAAGTTAAATATTATCATAATATTTTATAGTTATTTTTAATATTATAAAGGCAAAAGTGAGTCGTTGGCTTACCTTCAAGGGTAATGATTTCAGCAAGCTATATTATATGTATCTATGTATGTTCGTCTATGTCACCTGTTTCCGCGTATTTTCTAAGGTTTCTGCTAAGTTCCTTTCTAAGGATGCTATAATGTAAAATAAGAGAAAATTATAGGCAACTAGCATTTCCCGCGGCTCCGCCCGCGTTCAGATGACCAAAAAGCAAATTCTTAGGTTTTACATATTAGTATACTCTTACATTGCAGTTTTTGTATTTTTCTTAGAAATGAGATATTTTCTCGCAGTAAAAAGTATCCTATATGTTGACCCGGATAACCAGCTATCATCATACCAAATTTCATCAAAATCCCTCCAGTGGTTTTTCCGTGATGCGGTAACAGACAGACAGACAGACAGGCAGACAAAAATTCTAAAAACTATAGATTCGGCCTCTGTATCGATAATAATGTCTATTTCAATAAAATTTTCCAAAAAATATTTCATGTACAGATTCGGCTCCGTTAGAATTTTATTATATGTATAAATAAGATACAATCATGTAACAATAATAAACGGTAGACAGATGAAATATGGGAAACCGTGGCCTTTGGGGAAAATTGTGTTAGTGTCAAATCGTCTAGTAATATTTTTTATATAATTTACAATAAAAATTAAACTATTTATATTTATCAAACAACTTTCAAACGTATCATTTTTCAATAAAAGCTACAAAAAAATGTAACACGTAGGTATATATACATACTTGTTACATTTATACGTACACTAGCAGAACCCGCGGTTTCGCTCGCGCTAAAACTCCAAAAAAGAACTCTACAAAGGTAGGTTTCATACGAACTTTTATCTCCCATTTTACCGCCTTATGGGACGAATTTCGAAAAACGCTAAAACACATAATTCTTTAGTTGTATTGAAGAGCATTAATACCAAGTATCAAGTAATTCTCATAATACATTTTTTTTGTTTGTATTATAACGTGTTTTCCCGTGGGAGTAAGATAATCTCCCGCGGTAAAAAGCAGTAAAAGTAGCGCTTGTCACTCTCCAGCCCTCCAACTATCTCCACACAAAAATTTACGCCAATCCGTTACTCCGTTTCGACGTGAAAGAAAGACAAACAAACAAACACACTTTCACATTTATAATATTAGTGTGGATACGTTTACATACGAGTACGTAAATATATTTTTTACTGTGAATTTTGAATGTTTTGATAATGAATGTGTAAGGTATTGTAAGGTACTTTGGTGCAATTTTTCAATTTTTGAATTCATTTTGTTATTTGTGGGTAGGCTGTGTGTAACAACTATACCTTCGAGACATCTAGTACCTCAGTCTCTCCCGTGACCATGATTGCTGTAAAGCATTCGAAACGTCGGGAACCAAAAATCTAAATAAATCCGCGAAAAAATCCTAAAAGATAATTTTATTTAAAATAAGCTTTATATTTATTTTGATCACTACTTCAAGTTCAGCCATGTTTCCTACAGGTACAGGTATAAGTTATTATTCAGGTGGACATACAGTTATTAATTACTTGTAAACATTGAGAATAAAAATTAAATAATAAAAAAACACCGACTGCGTAAAAAACGAACTAAAAAATGGGAACAAGTTTATGAAGGAAGATAGCATTATGCAATCGGAAACACATGTTTTATAAGTACTCGTAGTAGCTGTCTGCGAGTCTTACTACGTGTATGTATGTTTGTCTCCGAATGCGTAATACTGTGTTCCTTCGACAACTTGTTCCTATCGTTTTAGTTCGTTTTCTACGCGGTCATGTTTTACTTTTAATAAATAACATATCGATGTAATTGGTCGTATAAGTAGTTTAAATAAAGTTATCAAGAGACATAGGTTAGTAGCTACCTTTTTTTACATAAAATGGTTTTAGTAGGATCAGCGCCATATTTAGGTGGCAATCGGTGACTGCAGCTTCTGGTGCACATGAAATGGGAGTCCATTTCATATGCCCCAGGAGCTGCAGACAACAAATACACAATAGAATTTATCAGGCGTTTGTATCAAGATTTTTACTACATTTGATTACATTATTGCAAATTGTTTCATATTCCACGTGAAATCATCAACATCATGTGTTTTTAAATATAGCTACATATAATAAAATTCTGAGTCGAATCTGTACGTTAAATATATTTTTTAATCTTATTGCAATAGTCATTGTTAACGACACAGAAATCTATAGATTTTAGATTTTTGTCTGTCTGTCTGTCTGTCTGTCTGTCTGTCTGTCTGTCTGTCTGTCTGTCTGTCTGTCTGTCTGTCAGGGAACGCATCACGAGAAAACCACTACACGAATTTTGATGAAATTTGGTATGATGATAGCTGGTTATAAGGGCCAACATATACTCGTAGGATACTTTTTACTGCGAAAAAATATTTCATCCCTGAGAAATCTATGTTAAACGTTAAAACGTTTACTTGTTTGTTATTAACTAGGGACGAACCCGAGCGGAGCAGGGTGATTCGCTAGTTATTTTATATAATCTATTTAATTATATTATTGTTCTTTTTCTATGTCAAATCAATAAATGTAAAATAATTTACAATTGTATTAAAATATTTATATTGAAACGTGTACCTAACACGTATCGTTATAACAATAGTAGGTACCTATTATGTAACGCGATGAAAATTGTAAATATTTCCATTTTCCATTCAACATACTCAAGTTCTGTTTGATATATATATTCGTAACATTTACATTTAAGTTTTCAGTTGCTCTTTTTCAGTTTTATAGTAATGGTGTGTCATATTGATTAATAATTTACAAAGATGAATATGTGTGAGTAATTTGTCAGGAGAATATTAGAATATAAGCTTATTAAATAAAAAAAATTGTTGTTAACAATTTCCTGTTGCAAAAAAAATGTTTCTTAAAAAGCATTTTATTTTAACTGTATTATAATACATTAGAGCTAACAAAAGAATTTTTGTTTTGTGTTAACATTTAGTTTTTTTTTTTTAATTTTGGGACAGAATATGTTTCATTTCACAGTTATATTTTTGTTGCTTCATTACAAGAAATGCATTTTATGTTATATTCGTTATTTTTAAATGAAGCATAAATAGGAATATGCTCGAACTTACGCTCTTATATACTTATTTTACATTATTATATGTATAGATATGTATATATATTTTGTACATACCTATATTCCCTTTATTTACTACTTTAAAAAAGTGACTTACTTTTCAAAACGCAGGTATATAGAAAATTCAAAACAATAATATAAGTAAGTAGTAAAGATTTTGTTGTAGAATAAACTCTGAAACCACTGAACCGATTTTATTAATTCTATCTCTAATAATAATTGATAGCTACATTATCCTAGAGGTCTTTAGGCTATAAATTATATTTGTATTGTTTTAGCTGACTTGTCACGGTCTTTGTGTAGTGGAAAAAAATGAGCATTCTTTGCGCGCGGTTGTTTAAAAATATAAACATAAAAGCTAATATGTGTAGACCTTTAATGGACAAAAAAGTCCACTTTACCAATATCTATTTTTTATATTTTAGCAGATATATCAATCAAATTGTGTGCGTGCGTGCGTGCGTGCGTGTGTGTGTGTGTGTATGTGTGTGTGTGTGTGTGCATGTGTGTCAGCCATATAAAATGTACCTATTTTAGTAAGTTCTCGGTTTCCTCATATGTCAAGTCTAACAACCAAGCTGTAATTATATTTTTAAATACATGTAAGGTTCGGGGATATATATTAAGAACTTTGTTTATTTTGTTATATAAATTTGGGGAAAAGAAATAATAATGCTGTTTAGCTAAAGCCGATGTAATACGAATTGTTTTGCAAACTAAGTCCGATCTGCGTTTATTAGAGATCATGTGGTAATCAAAAGGTGTTTGTGAGTGCTTACGTAGTATGGTTTGGAGTAAAAACAATTTTCTAAGAGAAAGTACTTTAGAAATTTTATACGGTTCGACGGTTGGGAAATATATAGGTTTAAAGTTCATTGTTTTGAGTATAGACCTTTGAACCCTTTCTAAATTATTGCACATCTGGAGGTCCTGGATTCAAGTCCCAGGTCGGGCCAAGTTTAGCTATTGAGTCTTTCTGTGTAGTACAGCCCGCAATTGAAAAGTTCACGGTGTTACACCTCCGTACCTCGGAGAGGACGTAAAGCCGTCGGTCCTGCGCCTGAACTCTCACTGGTCGTGTCGTGTTCCTACCGGAGTATGAGAGTGACACACACACTTCTTACACAATATTCTTTGTTAATACATATGCAATAATTAAAGGATATTGTGGTATTCAAAAATTAGAAAATGTAGTAGTATCAATATTTATATTATAATTTAAGAAAATTCATATAAATACTAGTAATAAAGTATACTAAAAAGAATTGCAAATAATATTTAATGCAAAAATCAACATTAATCTCTGTACTACCTTCTATGAGCGCACACTATACTTTCATCTTTAATTATTTTTATAGGAGCAGTACCGTGTATTAAAAAATCTGAAATATTAAGAGTGTTTATGTCAATCAACTGGTTTATTCAGATACAAAATTTAAAACTTTTTGCATCATATTTTCAGATAACACTCGAGCGGCAGGAATCACACTATGGCTTGCAATGCTAGGACTCACTCGGTCGCACTCCTTACATGCAGATATTGAAACTCCACCCTTCAATACACTATACAAATGGAAACAAGTAGACTTCGAATTCCCTTCAGAAAGCCATAGAAAATATGCTATAGCTAATGGGTAAATAGTGTTTTTTTTAATATTAACAAAACACATATGACTATCTTATAAAATATGTGATACCTACTATGTCCTCTTGTTCTCCATTTGTGGTAAAAGCACTCACCTTCCAGATAATATATGAAACTCCGCACAGAAATCGCTTGCATTTTATTTGTTTTTTAAGAGATCTCGAAAAAATTTGGTATTTTTTGGATTTTGTACTTAATCCATAGTATAGAAAATGAAATGGAGCTACTGATTTTCAACATTTAAACTTTTTTTATATTTTTTATTATTTTCAGAGACTACGTCCCTGCTAATGTCCTACCATTAGGTTTGGAAATTTGGGGTTCCCGTGTATGGGTGACCATACCGAGTTGGCGTCGTGGAGTACCAGCCACGCTAGCAACTGTCCCTCGTTATGGCGGAGTTACATCTCCCCGACTTACGCCTTATCCTGATTGGAGTTTTCATAGAGCTTTTAGTAAGTATCCTCCCGTGAGATTATATTTTAACTACATTAATATTTAATTTATAAAGAGTTCTACAGTTCTGCAATTATTAATGTAGATAAATATTAATCATTAATATTAACGAAAATAACCTAACAATTTTACTATTTAGAGCTTATAATAGCATATCAAATTTAATATAAAGATACCACAGCCCAAACAGCCGTTTGAAAAATATTTGCCTGTTTGTCACCATGTAGGTGCCCTAATCTCTAGAGAGCTAGACTGATTTTAGTAGATTTTTAACACGTAGATAATATTAGCGAAAAAGGCTTAGTCTTCTTTAAATTTCGAGAACGTAAAAGTCCCTTGCCCTATAAGATGAGGATTTCTACTGAAGAAGTCATAATATTACAGAAAGGGACATCTTATTGTGGGAAAATTCGCGATTACACGCGGCTTAAGAGCCAGATTTTTATGGGTGTAGTCAAGGGCCTTAGCGAAACAGGGGTGGTTTCTTACAATAAATAACAATATATTATATAAGAATAACAGAAGGTAATTTGTAATATTGAAATGGTATAATATTATTTATATGAAAAAGAATATCCTTAAATTATTAAAGCAAATTCACTGATAAACCTTTTTGCAATAATATTTCCCATCGAGACATAATATTTAAAAAGACGTAACAACTAATATAGCTACAGATTAAAGTAGGTTTATTTATTTCAATTTGCTTCTTATTTGTAGATAAAGCCAATAACTGTTCCGGTTTAACATCAGTTTTTCGGATGAACATTGACAATTGCGGAAGACTTTGGGTGTTGGATTCTGGTCAAATAGATTCTCAAGATAATCCAAAACAATTATGTCCACCGAGTATAGTTGTGTTCGACTTAAAAACTGATACTCTTATTGCTCGATACGTTATTCCCGAAAAGTACGTACTGCAAGATTCATTATATTCTAACATAATTCTTGATACCAGAAAAGAGGACTGTTCTGATCTTTATGCTTACATTGCTGATACATGGCGTTTTGGATTACTTGTTTTCCGAGAAAGTGATGAAAGCTTTTGGAGATTTTCTCATCACTTTTTTTACCCTGATCCATTTGCTTCTAATTACACTTTACACGGACTAAATTTTCAATGGACTGATGGAATTTTTGGCCTTGCACTTTCTCCTAGTGAAAATTATAATGAAAGAATACTATTCTTCCACTCAATGTCAAGTTATAGAGAATTTTATGTTAAAACATCTGTTCTCCGTGATGCTTCTAGGGTAAATAATAGTGCAACGGAATTTAAGATCTTAGGAGAAAGTAGAGGATTATTCGGCCATTCATCTGCATCTGCTATTGATAGACGAGGAGTCATGTTTTATGGTTTAGTAACTAGGGATAGTATCGGATGCTGGGATATAAGGAAACCATATAAACGATTAAATATAGGCCAAGTGGCTAAAGACCCTGTGACACTGATTTTTCCGAACGATGTAAAAATTGATCAAGAAAAGCGTCAAAGTATTTGGGTAATATCAAATCGGCTGCCAATGTTTCAAGCTGGTCCTTTAGACCCCGATGACTACAATTACCGTCTCATGTATGCAGATACGTTTGAAGCCGTACGCGGCACAACATGCGATCCAACAGTTCCGCCCTCTTATAAATGGAATAAATAGTGTACAAAATAATAATAATAATAAGTGTAACATAGATAATTTATAATTAATCAATAAGTCCTTTAAATTTAAGCAGAAGCAGAAAAAATTTTTTTTTTTTATGAAACTAGTCGAATTCTATTCATAGTTAAGAGATCATGTTATAAAAACAGGTAATTAAAAACATGTTGATACTGAAAGATTTAACTTAGTACTACTAACTGCTTAAAATACTTCTAGCTAATGTTACATTGTTACAAAAATACTTTGACACAAAAGCTAGCTTTTATTAAACCATAGGCGTTATTATTTTATACTTTTTTGAGATTTTGTTACATAACATGTACCTAAAGACTGGCTAAAAGAACATACTGTTACTCTTAGACTTAATAATAAAAAAAACAGTCATGAGGACTGCCGACGGAAGTGAAAACTTAAAACTATAATCAAACAGTTGTTATTTTTGGATATTCAAATTGTTCATAAAACAAAAAATATTACAGATGTTATCACATAAATATTTTATGAATTATAATATTATTTACCAAAATATAATAGTTGTTTCATTATAATCAAGCGTAATCTAGTTATTTAAATAATTTACCCCCACAATATTGACTGTTGAAAAGGCGAGGATAAACTGGTTTCGAATTACTCTATCTTTGCATAATCGAGGCGGTGGCGTTTCGGTGAAGCCTCATTACATTAGCTCTCACACGGTAGAAAAGACGTTACCTATATCTTTCAATCAACGCACATTCACAAGACCCACCCATGTTGTAAACAATCTGCGAAATGGTAAGTTAAAACTAACTTTTATTATAAAGCAAAACTCTAATTAACATATACAGACTGACAATGACCTAAATGTTGGGACAACAATCACGTTATTGTTTTGAAGTTCTTTATAATTTTACAGTGTAACTGATACTATACCATATATAATAGGTGTAATATATACCTTTATTTTCATGTTATTTTATAAAAAAATACATTATTGTATAAGTATAATACATATGTATAGAAAACTAAATCATTTTTAATCAAAATCATAGAATTGTTTTGATTTTCAATAGTATTGCAGATATTACATTACTATTATTGTAAAATGTTAAAGTGAAATAAATATAAATAATAACTGTAAAGAAAAGTAAGTGTTGAATACAACTAAGAGAACGATTAAGATTTTTAATCAAAGTTTTCGATTTGGTTTTGTAACTAAATAGTTCAAAGGATAATATTATTGTAATTTAATATGCAAAACTAACGTTTCATAAATTACTTTAGAATTTTGTGAAGGTCTTCGTTTTCGTTTCGTCGTCGTTCTTTACATACAAAAAACTAATGACATACCTCTTGCTTAAATATACATATTATATATATAGTTATGTTATATATATATATATATATATATATATATATAGTTATGTTATATATATATAGTGTTATGTTATATATATATTTAATGTTCAGTCAGGGATGACTTAAATCATTTTTTTAGTATACGTATCGTCTCTTAGTACCTACAAAAGGTGTGGTCGGTGTAGAATCCATATATTACTGTAAAATATTTGATAATTTCCTTTACATTTACGAAACTTTGCAACGATTTCATTGCAAGCAATTAATTTAATCGCGTTTAGTAGATATACTTCACGTAGTAAAATATAATTAGATTCAGAACTTATTATGTCATTAATATAAATTAAAGAATCGTGCATTCGGAATGGTTTTATATAACGAAAGTGTTTTCTTTTGGCTTTATTGCTTTGAAGTATAAAATTTTTCAAAGTAGGTAACTACTTTAAGCATTTTTGAAGGTTCGAAAGTCACAAATATGTACAAAAATTTACTTATTTAAAATTTATCTAGCAGTAGTACGTAACACTTGAAGGTATTGGGGATATTGGTTAAATGTAAAACAAGTATTTAAATTAAGTATTCAGCTCAAGTAACACTTTGGCTGTAGCAAAAATTTAAGTAGGGCTTACATAATTTGAAAGTTCTTTATATAATTAAAAAGGATTATAAAGCAAATGATTATGTCATATAATATATTTATTCAGTAACTATAATAATTGAATATGTATATCTTATTACAGATGATATTGAGAATTCTATTTTTAACGGTGTTTCTGGCTGCCAACGGAAGTCAAAGCTCTTATTTTCAAAGAAAAGCTATAGGCACTTTATACCGATGGAAGCAAATTGACTTTGCCTTCCCGACACCACAACATAGACAACGAGCTATCCAGACCGGGTAACTTCTACTTTTTTCATATCTTAGTCATATTTCGGTTATATGAATAATTGAATGGTCATATCATCGTTAATAATAAATACTATGAAAATCAACCGGTTATTAATAAACTTTATGGTGTTGTTGTTTTAGCAAGTTCGGAGAGGGGGACAATTTGATCCAAACATTTTTTTTGTTTTATGAATTGTTGCAAGATTAAATTGTAAAACAATATTTTACTAATACATTTTAGCCGATCACCATTTTGACATGTTCCATATCAATCCAGAATTGTATCTATCACTATGAAAATTTCGTAGAAAGAAAATTTAGGCGTCTTGTCAAAATGAAGCTACTCGTGAAGCTTTAGTTTGTTATTAATCATTAAAAAAAAACCGTTGTGCACTGTAGACTATTATTATATTTTTAGCCATTATATAACAAAGCATGGTAAAACAAAAGAACGCCATGGTTATTGCTTAGAATGGTACATATATGTACGAAATGTTTTCAATTTCAGACAATTCAATCAGATCAATGTGATACCGTTAGGAATTGAGCGATGGAGGAATCGCGTTTTTGTAAGTACACCTCGATGGAAGAAAGGTGTTCCAGCAACATTGTCCTCTTTGCCTGTTACGGCTCAAGAGGAATCGCCGTTATTGACACCATTTCCAAGCTGGGATTGGCATAATGCAGGTAAATATGTTAATTGGACTCACATATGAATACATCATTATAATACATTGATTACACAAGTTTCGTGTCACAATATATATTATTAGTGTCTATTAAACAAGTTTCGTCATACATGTAGTATGACCTCACCTCAATTCAATTAATAAAAAGTTTATATATGATATGTAGATGAATTCCGCATATCACATGGTTAAATTATATAACGGAAGTAACTAAAACTTCGCTCTTATTTATAAAAAACAACATAATCTCAAAGTACCTATGTTTTTTTGAATATTAAAAATTTTGCTTTTTGACTTTACCTTTTACTTTTTGACTTTACCTTTTATAATATATTATTTAATTGACAGATAATTGCACGGGATTCACCTCTATATACAGAATGAGTATAGACCACTGTGGAGTCATGTGGGTTCTTGACTCTGGACAAGTAGAGGCCTTCGAAACGCCTCGTCAGTTATGTCCACCGACGCTTTTCGCTATTAGTTTAGATACTGATACTGTTCTGGGCCGTTTCCCGATTCCTAGCGAGTATGTTTTGCAAAACTCTCTTATTACTAATCTCGTTGTCGACTCAAGAGATGCCCAATGCAGAGACCTGCACGTATATATTGCGGATGCATGGCGATTTGGATTAATTGTATTTAGAGATTCTGATGCGTCCTTCTGGAGATTCAATCACTTCACATTTTATCCGGAACCTTTACTGTCAAATTACACTCTACATGGATTAAACTATCAATGGTCAGATGGTCTATTTGGAATGTCTTTGGGGCAATACCATCTTGGAGATCGACCGCTTTATTATCACGCCATGTCAAGTTCTCTGGAATTTGTGGTAAATACTTCAGTGATTCGTGACCCTTCGCGTGTTAATAATGCCGTCGATGAATTTAAACTTCTCGGCGAGAGTCGTGGTTTGAATGGACAGGTATCCGCTGTAGCGATTGACCGCAATGGTGTCATGTTCTTTAACCTTATTTCGCAAGATAGTGTCGGATGTTGGGATACACGAAAACCATATAAAATCGAGAATTTAAGAATTGTAGCACAAAATAATAATACATTGGTATTTCCTAACGACCTGCGTATAGATAATGAGGTACAGCAACTCATATGGATAATAACGAATAGGTTGCCTATGTATCAATTTAATTTAATTGATCCAAATGATTTTAATTACAGAGTTATGTACATCGATCCTAAAACTGCTATAGAAGGTACTATTTGTCAGCCATTTTATATTTAATAATCTATTATCACCTTGTAATAAAATGATGTTATAATATTTAAAATTAAAAAAATACAATATAAATGGTTATTTTATTTATTAAAATATGTATTTGCTATTTTTTTCTGATATTTTATTTATTACCCTTATTTATATTTATGTGCTTTGGATTTGGTTGGTTTACTATTATTGGAGTTTTTAGAACTCTCAGTATTTACTGAACAAGTGCTGTTTCTATTATTTAAAGTTGACGAAGGCATGTCCATACAAGCTGCACGAATTTTCATTCTATTAATTACACTTTCAATGCTCTCAGATGATGTAGCATTTAAAGATTTTGTTTCTTTGCTTGTCTGACTAATATTACTTTCTGCTTGATTCTCTGTCACATGCTTATTTACATCCTCTTGTGTATTTATCAAATGTTTACTAGGTGATTTCATTTCATTTGTTGTTCTTAAGATTTTATCATTTTCGCACATAAAGGAAACAGACTCTAGTGTTTCTTTTGCTTCTAATGTATGACTAATATTTTCTATTTGATTATCTATCACATATTTGTTTATATCCTCATGTGTGTCTGTAAGAGTTTTGCTAGGTGACTCGATTTCATTTGTAGGTAAGAAATCCTTATTTTCACACATAGAGGAAACTGAGTCTATTGAAATTTCTGTTGTCTCTAATGAATGGATACTTTGACTCTTTTCAACTATACTATTATTATCGTGAAGTCTTACTGGAGAACTCAGTGTGCCTAGCAATCCTGATGGTTTCTTCATAAAAATGTGTGGATAATCACGTAAATATGATGCCATTCTCCCTTTACTACTAGCAACAAGTGGTGGAGTTTCAGCCATTTCAGTGGATATACATTCAACTTTACGTGCACGTGGTAGATAAGCCTGTGAGCTTGAACTTAAAAATTTTGCAGCATCAGTACTTTCCTTTCCTAAGAAAACACCTATTCGTAATAGCATTAGTACTATTTGCTCTAAAATGCGATCTGTGTCACGTGGTACTACAACTTCGCTACCAAACCAGTCCTCGTATCTTCCTATATCCGACATTGTTTTATTAGAAACTATAGGAAAGGGATATATTTCAGTGCCAGTTGGAATAATATCCTCACTACTTGAATTTGAAGAACTTTTATATGTTTCATCTACTTTTACTAATTGTTGTGATTCGTTGTGCTCGCAATACCTGCCGGTAATTAAAATATTGTTTATAATGTTGGTTGTAAAAATAATTATAATCTACGCCTATATTATTAGTATAATGTAGTTTAGTACCTGGGCTACCGAGCTTCGCTCGTAGCTTTAGCCTAAAGTACAATTTTCTTCTTTTTTTTTAAAAAAAAACTTGAATAAATATAAAAAAAAACAAAAGTAATAACTTTGTATGCGACCGAGATTCGAACCTGGACACCTGTGATTGTTGATCTTGCACCTTGGCCGCTTGACCACGATGCTTATGCCCGAGCTTGCAAATTACCGACCATATTTTGCGTGGAATAATGCAAAAGAAAACTGCATGAAAACTCGAAAACACGCGTTTTCTCAGATATAAGACTAATCTAGATCGATTTATCGCCCCCGAAACCCCCCCGTATGTAGTAAGTTTGTACCGGTTCTGGCTCGTGAGCCAGAACCAGTGCAATCTGGCTAACTTACTCCCGGTACTGACGGGCTAACTCGCGGACGATTCTGTTTTGCAACGGTCGATTCTCGAGTGATGGACCCTAAAAAAAAAAGGTTTTGGCATGCTCTGATCACGAATCTGCGATCCATTTTTGCGTACGATGCGCGGTTTTGGAGACGTGGAAATCAATTAGGAAATATCTGATTGATATCCGGTGGCCTCGCACCCTCATTAGCACTCCATTGTTCTCCTTATCTATTGTTCCGAACACCCCCATTACGACTGCATTGCCGTTCTTATCTATTGTGCACATCCATTAGGATATTTTATTTTTGATTTTATAATATTTGATTTGATTGTATACTTCTATTGGTCATCAACTACCATGCTACTCTAAATCATAAGTAAAACACACTCATTCATTTCTAACAATTTTTATTTATTCATTTCATAATTTTATTACATATCTATACACATACATAACATTGAAGTGTCTATTTTTCATTTCAAATTCTCAGTTTTTAACTAAACACATATCAAAGTATATAAGATCGTTTTCTTTTAGTTATATACCCAGATCCTGTCATGTTTAATCGATCAATTTTGTCATCAGCCTTTCGTTTTAAGTTTGTGCTAACTTGCTTTAGACGATCTTTTATTGAGGTTTCCATTGGACGCGCTTGAACCATATCCGATAAAAGACCTACTCCGGCGTTTAATGCCTCCTTACCAATTACTCGAGCACCACTTGAAAGTAAAGGTAAAACTGATCTAAATAAACCCCCTAAGAAGCTCCCAATACCATGACCGCGTTGATATGGTGAACTCTTATAAATTACTCCAATTCCTGATCCAGCTTGATGTGTATAATAATTTTGATATGGACATTTATGATGATCAGGAAGAGAATACATTATTGTAATTTTCGGAAATGTAGTTTAATACACACGGTTCCAAACTGGAATGGTATTTTTGTCCTGTGCTCGATCTTATATTTATTTCCAGGGTATCGAACTCTCTTCGCATAACAGGTAAGTAGTGAGGTGGAGAGAAAACATGCATTTTATTTGCACCATAAATGTATTTTGTAGGATCTAATGAAATGATTCTCAATAAAGGAGTCATATTATCACCCACATTCTGAGGATCGATTATGTCACAATATACAAATAGTTGAGATGGTAACCCTTAGTGTAAATTAGCAGGACACTTTCCAAAATTTCTCTCTAGAAGATTTTTATTTGGTTCATAAACTAGTTGTATACTTAATTTGGGTGATAATGTTACAGATGATATATTTTTATCCAAAACGGAAACAGACACAAATTTTGTTATTTCATCATAAGGGAATCTTAAGTTCTCTCCCAAAGCATTTAACGTTTTTAAAATATGTTCAACGTTATCATAGTTGGTAGCTGGAATATGCTTTTTGAGGTACACTGTTGATGGTTTATCTTCATTAGGCATTATCATGTTTTTTGTAATGTATATAACATTTTCGTGATTTTGAACAGTAAACATGGTGCATGGATATTGAAACTCGACAACTCCAACCGACCATTCACCTTCTAATTTAATAGATTTTGGTAATTTTGTTAAAAATTTGTAGTCTTGTTATCAGGAAAATATTCCATTGAACTATTGCTGAGCAAAGTTAAATAAAAACTTTCTTTAATCATATTTTTTTTAAACTAGAAACTAAAATCCAACTGTTAAATTTATCTGGATAACCTTTCCACTTCACCAATACTTCTTTTCTGATACCCGAATAACGAGAGTCAATTATTTTATCTATTTTATATTGTGAGGTGGGGTTGTAAGTGACTGTATTCTTTTTCATAAAAAGTACCAACTATTGGTTCATTTTGTAAATCTGTTATTGTATATACGACCCATGGAGATCTATCAATTATTGAAGATATAATAAATATTTCATCACTCCAATTTGATTCATATCCTTTTTGGAAAACATGTTTATATTTAGTTATTCGAACACAATCACCCACATTGAAATTTGGTTTTGGATTTTCTTAAGAAACTTTGTTTGATCCTCTGTCATAAAGGTTAGTCCAAACTGTCATAATATTGCTAGAATTTACATCACATGGACACATCTTAATACTAGAGTGAATGCTGTGATTATAAGAGTAAATAAAATCTTGTAAAACATCTATGTATCTATAAGTATTATTATGAGTGAAATATCGCCACATTTTCATTTTTAGAGTTCTTTGAAATCGTTCAACAATACTGGCCTTAATATCAGGATTATTAGTGGTATAGTAATTAATCTTTTTGGACTTAAAGTATTTTTGTATATCTTTTGAAACAAATTCTGTACCTTTATCAGATTGTATGTGAGTAGGTGTTGAATTACTTTCAGTAAATATACTTTCAAAACATTCTTTAGTTGTTTCTGAGTTTTTCTTTTTCATTGATCTTGCAAAAGCATATTTACTAAATACATCAATAACACAAAGTATGTAGTTATAACCATCATTATATTGAGAATAAGTTCGCATATCACTTAAATCAGCTTGCCACAGTTCATTAATGTTTGATATAATATACCTACCTATTCCGGGGGAATTTTTTCCGAATGGGTTTCTGTAATGTGTTGATTCTTGTGCTTGTAACCATTCCTTTACTTGCTTTTTATCCATTTTACCCTTCATGGCTTTTCTTCTAGTACGGGGTCCATTTTTCCCATTCGAGCTTTCTCCGTATTTTATTTAAACATCTTTTATCTTCACTGCTCGGTGTAGAAAACTCTTGATCTTCAATCTCAGAGGTTATTTTCAGATCATTTACTTTAAGCTGATTAATAAACTCAAATCTTTTCGAGTTTCCAATATAAGTAAGTGGTACTTTAATATCTTTTAATGCTTTAGCAAATCTATCCCACCCTATCGGATCACTTTTTTTTAAGGGTCTTAGTGAATCATTTATTAAATCAACGATATTACTTCCAGGAATTTTTTCATTATCAATTATGACTGTGCCTTCATTATCCCAATGTATTTTACTTTTATTTGTTCCCACTGAATTTAATAATAACTGACCTTTTTTATTATAAGTTTTTGGTATTAAACTGAGTATTTGAGTTGGTGTGTAAAGTGGATTTGTATCATTTTCTTCACTTTTAATGGATCCATTCTCTCCCAACAAAGCTTCAGCATTAACTATACATTTTAGGTCGCTGTCTTTATTTTTAAAGACAATTTTAGACTCATTTGAATCTTCATTAGATATATTAGAATAAATTGGTAGTCTGAGTGGTTGACGATTCTCTTCGGTAAAGTGAAGGTATCTTTGTAGTGTTTGTAAATATAACATCCACTTCTTACGGTCTTCCGTCTTACTATTCATAATGTTTTGCATTTCAATGTCTGATCGAGACAAATTACTATTAACCTTATTTTCCTGTTTTAATTTTTCAATCAATCCAGGTTCAATAAGTATCATTTTCTTTGCATTTTCCATGTTAACTAGCTAGTCCACTTACTAATCCACTCAATATTGCACCTAATATTATTGGTAAAAAAGCCCCTCCTTTTTGTATAATTATATTTTTTCTTAGTTTATGTTTACACTTATGCATCAGTTTACGGAGTATATTTTTGTGTTTATTCAATTTTTGTTTCTCCTGATCTTTAAGAGGTACCTTTCCTTGTAAAACGTTATGAATACACTCACAAATACAGTTTATTTCTTCTTCATTACATGTTTTAAGTAATGCTCTTTGATATTTTGGTTTAAGCGTATGCAAAGCGTTAAGCAAATGTTTATGCGTTGTGACTCGATGATGCATCATTTAAAAATGATTTAAATTGCTTGATTCTTGATGTATTTAAACTGTTTTGTGGGGACGTAAACTGTACAATAACCATTAAATGGAAAGACATTCGTCTTAATACGACAAAAATCATTAGTATTCTGTTTTAAATCAACCATTAAATATCCATGTGCTTCTAAAGTTGCATCTCTGTAGGCATCTTCAATAAATTTTGGATTATCTGGCGACACCTGTCGTGCTAAATATCTTATTTGAGTTTTATCCCGAGGGTTTTTAAAATATATTATATAACTCGAGTTTAAAGAAATGTCTCTTTGACCTTTACCCTGATGAAATAAATTTTGTGTTAAATAAAATACACTAACATTCCTGTGATGACTACCTTTTGTAAATATATCCACAATTCTTCCATCAGACTCTCTCATTAGATCATCAATAATAACAAGGTGTGGGTTTTCACCATCAAACATATTGAGATTTGGAATTCCTTGATGATAGTTAACATTTGGTAAATTATATAAAGGTTGCATTTCGTCAAAACACCATGTGATCTGGTTAAAATCACAATTACATATTTCTTTAACTGATTTTATGAAATTTGTTACAAAATTTGACTTCCCACATCCACTTGGTCCTGCTACAATAGCAGTAAACGGATGAATAAAGTGAAACATTACACACGTCTAGAGTTCAAAGGGATTAAATAAAAAATGAAAGTATTGTTGTAAAAAAATTAATATATATTGCTTTAATTACATTATTATCTTACATTATTTACAATTAAACAATAATTAAATATGTTATAAACTCTACGTAACATTATAGTAATATCATAATTTTACAATCATTACACGTATACACATAGAAATAAAAATATCAACCCTTAGCGTAATTTATAATGACCCCAAGCTTTATTATTATTTTCTAAAATATGTCTTTTTGTGTCATTATACGATAAACAAATCTTATTTAGCTTTTGCGTAAAATTGTGTGTTTAATCGATTTAAATCTAAGCATACTACAATATTGTACTTTCTTTTTAAATAGAGAAGACTTATAACTATTCATAGTCATCTTTTTAGTGATACATTTATTTACCCCTTTTGCCTTGGCTATAATCTTATTCTCTAAATCAAAAGCGTACATTTTAGATCGTAGACCTACAAATTCTTTCATGATTTTACCATTATTTTCATCTTTGAAAAAAACTAATTTCTTTTTATTTAATTTTGCATATTCAAAAATATTATTTGTATCATAATCTGAGGTGTCAAAGTATAAGGAAAGATCAGGTTTTATATCAGTGTAAAAATCATCTGTAAATATATGCTATATTAAACTATCCGTATCTGTATACAATAAATTGATTTTTCTAAACTTTTTAATCATATAGTTGTAATGAAAATCATACATTAACGTTTTTGAAATATCTAAAATACAAAACCCTAAATAAATTGGTTTGTTATATATCAACTTAGTTTTTCGCAACTGAACCGCAACTAGGTCTTCCGAAAATATTGAAACACTATGAAATTGTGGTTTAGCGATTAGATCTTGAGCACCTAAAGCTTTACCCCGGTTCTCCCAGTGTGTAACTAATTTTACGTTGACCCTTTTTTCAATATTCTCCATAGTCTTACCGAAGACTGAATTGTTCATTAATTTATATAAATCTTTTTCGTAATCTGAATTTGCTAACATTCTAAATTTTGTATTTAGATCTATATACTTTTTTAACCATGGAGACTGTTTAAATTTTAAAACTCTATGAATTTTAGTTAGTTTTACCCACATTTCTATGCATTGCTTTAAATTTCTGTAATGAATTACATATTTAACTTTATTATTTAAATTTGGGACTAGTTTACTCTCCTT